AGGGTGTGTTGCAGCATCACCGATGCAAGCTGGGTTCACCCTGGTGTTCTCACACCTCCCCTTCCTCCCCTCATCCTCCTCCACCCCCCTCTTTCTACATCCCCCCCCTCCCCACGCCCTCTTGGCGCCAGGCCAGGGTATTTTCAAGATCCCCTGCCACCGCGGCCGGGCGGTGCAGCCTGGGCGCCGTGTGGCACCTCCTGCATGAAGTGTACTGTTAACTCGGGCCTGTCCCCCTACACGGGAATTTTCGACGACAAACTTAAAACATACTCGAAAAATGCACCAAAAGGGCCCCAATATGCTCAAAACATAATCCCCATACGATTGTTGGACTATGGTTGGACCATGTTTGATGTATTTTTTATTTTTCGTCGAAAATCCCCCAGTAGGGGGACAGGCCCGACTTAATCCTAGACGCGATCGCTAGTGTGGCGTGAGCCAGGAGGTCCCTCCACCCCCTCCCTTTCGGACCCGCAGAGAGGGAAGGCGGCACGGCCCTGGGTTGAGAAGCCCAGGGTTGGACGATGTGCGCACTCTTGGCCGGAGAGTGGCCCTGCCCTTACCCCCCCTTTCCAACCCCTCCCGGGTCCTCGCAGCCAGCTCTGAGCCCTGGTGGTTGGGTCCTTCGCCGCAGAGTCGGGTGCGTATCCTGACACGGCTGATGTCGAGGTGCCGCGCTGATGCGCTGTCGGGCACCCCCCAGGCTCACGCCCGTTGCCTTCCTGGGGCTTGGGGCTCGCGCTGGGAGAACAGTGGTGTGAGACGTGCATGCGGGGGTGGGGCGCTGGGCAACCGCTCCATTGTGTCTGGGGGGGTTGGGCTGCTGCCCCCCTTTTATGGACTCCCTCCTAAGTCACGCATGTGCGGCGTTAGCGGAGCTTAGCCTGTAAAAGGGGGCCGGAGGACGGTCCCCTCACGATTGTGCCCGCATCCCCTCACGCATTTCTGCCCTTGCGCTGACGCGGCAACGCGGTGCCCTTTTGTGGCACATACCGCCCCAGTCCAGCCATGTCTGTGGGCTGTCTCTCATCCCCACATCCTCTTCATTCTCCCCCCTCCTTCCTTGTGCCACATCATACCCGCCCCCTTCCCCTTTCTTTCTCCTCTCCCCCACTCCTCTTCATCCTCCTCCTTCGCCTCCTCCCTCCACCTTTCCCGCCCTCCTCCCGACGACGGCAGCGAACGTTACAACGACGACGACAGCGAAGTTGACGACTGCGGCGGCGACGGCGACAACGATCACGACGACCGCGGCGGCGAAGACGACGGCAGCGGCGACGACGACGACGACGACGACCGCGGCGGCAAAGACGACGCCGGCGGCGGTGGCGACGACGGCGGCGACCGCCAGGACCACGACGGCAACAGCGCGTCCTTCTTCTTGCCTGGGGCGCTGGCCAGGGCTGCCTCGTCAGGCTTGGCCTTGGCGGCCTGTGCCGGCCCAGCGGCTCTCTCACTTTCGTGCGTGCTCTCCACCTCCCTCGCCCGGTCTCTCGCTATCTCCCCCCCTCTCTCTCTCGCTCGCTGTCTCTGGCGATGTCCCTGTTTCGCTCTCTCTCTCTCTCTCTCTTTCGCTCTCTCTCTCTCTCTCTCTCTGTCTCGCTCTCTCTCTCTCTCTATCCCTCCCTCTGTGTGTAAATATAACTGCGGCTCTTTACATTCCCATTTCCATTTTTTATGGGGCCGCGGAGCCCACACCCCCGCGCCCCCCCCCGAAAACGAATTTCGGATCCTCGGGCCTGTTCTGCGCCTCTCTGCGGCCATCCTGGGGTCATCTTGACGCCGCCCGAACCAACCGGAATCGAACAAGCGAGAAGGCCGAAAACATGTTTTTTATTTGGTGTTCTCTGATGTTCGACTCTCCGGGCCCTGTTGCGCCAGCCTTGGGCCTCTTCGGGGCTCGTCTGGGGACTCATTTGGAGCTCTCCTGGAGCTATCTCGACGTCTCAAGAGCTGATGGTTTGCGTAAAGGCGACAAGGCCAAAAACGTTGCTTTTTCCCCCGAGGGTTCCTGTGTATTTTTAATTGTTTGGGCCCTCTTCGGCCAGCCTTGGACCTCTTTGGGGCTCGTCTGGGGACTCGTTTGGAGCCATCCTGGGGCAATCTTGACGCCCCAAGAGCGGATAATAAGCGCAAACGCGAGAAGGCCAAAAACATTGATTTCCCACTGGGTTCTCGTGTATTTTCAATTATTTGGGCCTTTTTCAGCCAGCCTTTGGCCTCTGGGGGGCTCGGCTTGCTCTATGGAGCCATCCTGGGGCTATCTTAACGCCTCCCGAGCCGACCAGATCGGAAAAGGCGAGAAGGGCGAAAACATTGCTTTTCCCACAGGTGTTTCATTGATGTTTGAACCTCCTGGCCCTCTAGGGCCAGTCTGTGCCCTCCTTCGGGCTCATCGGGGGACTCAGTCGGAGCCGTCATGGGCTTATCTTGATGCTTCGAGAGGTGTCAAAAGCCAGTCGGAAGCGACAAGGCGAGAGGACCAAACATTATGATTTTCCAACGGTTTTTTTGTTTAATGGAATTTCAATTCTTTGGGCCCTTTTCGGCCAGACTTGGGCCTCTGTGGGCCTCGGCTTGCGCCTCTCTGAGGCAATCCTGGGGTCATCTTGACGCCTTTCGAGTCATCCAGAAGCGAAAAAGCGAGATGGCCGACAACATTGTTTTCCCAATTGTTGTTTTCTGATTTCCGACTATGCGGGCCCTGTTGGATTGTTGCCTTCCCGGGCCCTCTTGGGCCAGACTTGGGCCTCTCTGGGGCCTGTGTTGAAGCTCTTCGGGGCCCTCCTGAGGCCGCAAGGGCCGATTGGAAGCGAAAGCGCGAGACACATTGAGGAGAAGGAGGGGGGAAGGAAGAGGAGGAGGAGGGCGAGGAGGAGGAGGAGGAAGAGAACGACGAGGAATGAGAAAAGGACAAGGATAATGGGGAAGATGCAGACAGAGGACGAGTAGGAAGTTGAGGAAGAGGAGGAGGAGGTTAAGGAGGAGGAGGGGGAGGATTTAGAGGAGGGGGAGAGCGGAGAAAGAGGATGAGGATGAGGACGAGAAGGGAGAGAAGGAAAAGGGGGAGGAGGAGGAGAAAGAGGAGGAGGAGGATGCCTTGCCTCATGCTAGAACAACCACTCGCCTGAGACGTATTCGCGCCTCTGGGCCCCGAAACGCCCTGAGCTGGCCTCAACTGGTGTTGTCCGGTCGGTCCCGCTTAGGAATTCCTCACCCATTCCGACTTGGCGGTGGCCCGCCCGGGGCCCGCCTCATGTCCACGCGCACGCGCGCAGCCTGCATTCGAATCTACAAGGAGCAAGGTGCATGGCGCGAAGCGCCACTGCAGTCTTGTATGTGTATGTACATATGCATATATGTATAAGTGTCGGGGTGGGCCTGCTCTTTCCATAAACGTACTGACAGATGCGCATATGTATATACACCCCTGCACTGATGCACACATGAGAGTAAACACATATAAATATGGGTATGAACACGGTTTCGTGAATACCGATGACAAGACACCATGTACATGCATATGCTGAGATACACATGCACCACCATGTACGTGTATATGCTTCTATATCACCATACATGTATGCGATCCCGCCACACAGACAAACATACAGTGTGTCTACGTATGGGCATGCGTGCGCATATATAACGTAACATGTACAGTGCCAAATTCCTCAAGCCGCGGCGCCGGCTGGCAGGGGTCGGGGGAGGGATGCCCACCTCCTGCTGGAGGCCGGGGAGCGAGGTATGATGTGAGATGAGGGGAGGGGGGGGGGCGGGACGGAAGAGGTGGGACGGAGGCGATGGTGGCGGAAGGAAGGCGGGGAGGGCGGGGTAAGGCGGAGGGGGGGAAGAAGACAGGGGATGGAGGATTTGAGTGGGGGGGGAGATGGGACGAGGGTACAGGGAGACGTAGGAGGCAAAGGAGGGATGGGAGGGGGGAGGGGTATTTAGGAGATGGGAGGAGGAGGGAGGAGAGGGGGAGAGTAGCACGGGGGGGCGAGATAGAGGGAGGCAGGAAGAGCCAGAGAAGTGATCGAAGCAAGGACAGGGGCGGGGGGGGGGGGGCAAAAGAGAAGGCAACAATGCAGGGAGGAGGGGGAGGAAATGGAGGAGAAGGAGGAGGAGGAGGAAGAGGAGGAGGAGGCAAGGAGGGGGAAGGGATCCTCCTCCCATTCGACCCATCTCCAGACGTCTAGCGTGCAGAACACATCAGACGGCATGTCTGCTTTCTGCCACAGCTTGGCCATGCTTGGAGCTCGTTGCGCGCACCCCCGCCACTTCCATGGATGAAGCCACGAGGGATACCGCCGAAGGTTTGGGAGACGGCAGAGAAAACTCGGGATGCATTGGAGATTCCTCCGCATGATGGTTCAATGGGTAGATACATCGCCAGTCCGACGCGAGCCATCGCACACACACACACACACACTCACACACACACACACACACAACAATGATACTCTGATCTTCCGAACCCATCCTCATCAACCGCACGGTGATAATGTGTGCTCTGTCGTGGCCTACTGTATGCTCCGTTTCGGCCCGGGCGCAGCCAGCGGTTTCCTTTGTCCCACCTGGCCGCGCGCGGGCGGAGGCACCACGAGACGGAGAAGGTTGAGGCGGGCCATGAGGCGCCTGCCATCGCTCGGACGTCCATTTCCCGTGCATTTTGCGGTTTCGTGCGTGCTTTTTGTTGCGCGATGGTCCAGGATGGTCCTCGATGGTCCTCGCCGCGAAAAAAATGCACACGTCCGAGCGATGCCAGGTGAGCAGGACGCGCTGCAGAAGCCTCCCACAGGCCGGCCCTCAGCAGGCCTGCAGGAAGTCGCTGGTCTCCAGGGCGCGCACGTGCTCCGCGGTCAGCGGCGTCACCAGCAGGCCCTCCGGCGTCACCTGGACCAGGTCCTGCGTGCAGCCGCTGGACGCCAAGCCCTCGCGGGGGCCGCCCAGGCTGCCGCCCGCCACCAGGAAGGCCTCTCCCACCGGCAGGCGCCTCACGTCCTCCAGCGTCGTTCCGGCGGGCAGCGCCGAGGCCCTCCGCACGGCGTCGAGAGCGCACGACGTCGAGACGCCAGCGGCGCTGGCGGACGCCGCCCCGCTGACGCCGCTGCCGTCTTCACTGCTGAGGCCGCTGGCGGAGGAAGAAATGCAAGGCATAAGCATTCAACTTTCGGAGCTCCTCACGGATTTGTTTACATCGGCGATGGGCCCCCCTGCCAGCGCCTCCGGCGCCGATACACAAGAAATCCGCGCGGAGCTCCGACAATTCATGGTTATGCCGTATTTTCTTCTTCGAGCTGTCGCCATCGCTGCCGTCGCTGATGGTATCGCTGTCGCTGTCCAGCTCGGCGCCCCGCGTTGCCCGGGCCCAACCCCAGCTGCCGTTGGAGTCCGCCCGGCGGGCTGCCTTCTGCGTCCGGCGGTTCTTCCTGAGGCGCCGCACCCCGCAGCAGACAAACACGGTGAGTCCCGCGACGCCCATGGCTATCAGGAAGGCCGCCGCAAAATACAGAGCCGACAGAATCGTCCCGACGATGCTCGACACGGTCTCCAGCAAGGAGCGCACGCAAGTGCAGGTACCTGCGGACCCCCCATCGACGGCTACCTTCATGGTGGCCTCCGCGACCGCGACAACCATTGCGGTCAAGGGCCCGACCATCCTCATGACGTACAGCATGGTGGCGTCGCCGTGTTCCGAATGCTCCAGCTGGGCGATCAAGATGAAGGCGAACACAGGCTTCACGAACACCATAACAACGTCCATAACTGAGGCTATGCCTGGAATGAGGTCTAGCACCACCTCCGTGACCATAATTGCTGTCAGCCCCAGGCACCCTGGCCAAGTGCATATGTACTCCGAGTGCCCACCGAGCACAAGTGGGCAATTCCCCAACAGCGTCCACCACGCCACTACGGCGATCGGCACTGTGGCCTTGATGCCAGTCAACTGCGCCAAGACCTGCGTCAACACCCACTCGCAGAAGAACGAGGACCAGTCCGGGCATGTGCCGGACTTGAGGCTAATGGTCACCCCATCCGTGTCGTCCATGGTCACGACACCTGCCCGGGTGACCCTTCTACAGTGTCCGTGGAGCCCATGAGCCCCGTCCGTGGGCACCGCTTGAGCCAAGGCTACGGATATACTTGCTCACTCCCTGGCCGACGCACGCGCGGAGTGCCTGCGGAGCCACATGGCTCCAGTTCGCCCGCCGCGGCTTTACAGTCACCGCTGGCCCCGCGATCGGCGAAGCAAGAGCGGCGTGGATGGGCTGAGCGCGGAGCGCCAAAACGAATTGACGGCTCTTTTCGGCCTTCCCTCCTCAAGCAGGGACGCAAGCTTAGAAGCAGATTCCTGCGATGACGACGCTCCTCTCCTCAAGCAGAGACGCAATGCGTTGACGACGCTGGCTCATGCTGTCGGAGAGTCGAGAACGGTATCCAAATCCACGCCCATCGAGCGACCCCATCAGCGTGTGACGGTTGTGGAAGGACCGGGCCTTTTTTGATAAAACGAAGGTGAGCAGCACGCACACGCTGAACGACGACGCGCCTGCCACTGATGATCCTCATTACCGGGGGAGGGGTCTCTGGTGCCACGCGGCCAGTTCGCGGACGAGAAGGGTGTCATGATGCGATTGTCTCAGGATGCGTTCCAGGAATTCTGGAGTATCCAGCAGCCCTAGTTTCCGCAGCCCGTGTGGCACATGAGGAATCTTGAAACGTACCAGTACCTCCGCTCTCCGCTTTCGGAGGCCTCCGCTTTCGGAGGCCTCCGGAGGCTCTCCGCTTTCCGCTTTCCGAGGAGTGGGAATGAGGAGGAGGAGGAGGAGAAGGAGGGGGAGAAGGAGGAGGAGGAGGAAGAGGGGGACGAGGAGGAGGAGGAGGAGGAGGAGGAGGAAGAAGAAGAAGAAGAGGAGAAGGAGCCCCGCTGATGATGAACGCTCTCCGCTTTCGGAAGCCCTCGGAGGCTCTCGACACCTCCCCTGGGCGCGGCGAAACCGCGCTGCGGGTTCGCCAGCGGACCTCGGGGGCCCAGAAGGGCCCCACCCTTCCCGCGAGGGCGTTCAGCCTTGGGACGCTCTGCGGGGCCTCCGAGGCAGCCAATGCTTGGGCTCGTCAGACCACGTTGCCCTTCGGCCAGATCAGCCCATAATGAACCCGATCAACCCGGACGAGGACAGATTAGGGGCCGATTTTCGGCCACGGACCTACCAGCGCCGATGCTGAATGTAACGTGCCAGGAGGACTTGGGGCCGTTGTGGGTCGCTTCGGGGCCGTCTTCAGCGGGTCCTTTGGGCCTGCCTGGGCAGCGGGGACGAGGGCAGTGGCGGGGCCGGGAAGGAGAGAGGGCGGGGAGAGGTGGGGGGGGGCGGTTTGCAGGCGCCATCGCCCGACCCGAGACACAAAACAGAAGCCTCCCTACCCGGCCAGGGGGCCCGCTCGACGAAAAAGTCGGGCGCACCGCCCTCCTGCTCCACCCAGGAGGCTCGGGGAGACGTAGGACTCGGGTTCGGGGGACTCGGGTTGGCCTGACGGGGCCATCATAAAAACGACGCGGCCCAGTCTGAGACTTGACGCGAGCTCCCACTGCAAACCTCCCACGAACAAAACCTGGGCAGCCAACTTCCAGGACGCGCTCGCCAAAAAGCGTCGGCAAACCCGAGGTCTTGCGCACTCGAGTCTTACTCGGGGCTTCTTACTGTAATAAGCGTTGGGGGGGGGTACCGTTCCGACGGGGGTCAACCTTGCCTCGTCGTCGCACCGCGACAGGGGTCCGAGCGCCTTCGGCGCGCGGTGGCTGCCCGCGACGGGGGTCGATGTGGGGCTGTCGGCGGGGGTGACGCCCCCCCCCCCCGACGCTTCCTGAGATTGAGCAGGGACCGACCGTTCCGGCATTTCTATAGGCCTACCACGAGATATTCTTAGAACCCGAAAATGTTCTGAGAACAAAAACAACGTCCTGATAACATAAGCCCGATGTGTCAAAACAAGACAGTCCCAGCCAGACATGTTCTGAGAACATTCCGTGGAAACCACAGCGGGTTCTCAGAACATTGCTTGGTGGGGCTACAAGCGAGCCGGGACGCTTCGCCACTGAGTCCTGAGAAGCTCGGAGCGCGCTCCTCTCCGAGGAGGCGGCGCAGCAACTGCACGGCCACGGGAGCCCTCGGAGGGCGCCCAGGACCACCCCCGTGGCGCGGCGGGGCCGCGGCGGGGAGCCCGGGCCCTCTCGGCGGCGGCCCTCCCGCTCCACCGAGGGGGGGGAGACACAAACAGCTACGGCACAGACAGCCACGTCCGCAGGTCCGTGCGGATGTCCCGAATCGGCGACGACGACGACGACGACGACGACGACGACGACGACGACGACGACGACGACGACGACGACGACGACGACGACGACGACCGAGTGGGCGGGGGGGGGGGTCCTCTCGAAAAAGAGCAGCTGCGTGAAAATACGCCTTCGGAGGCCCGCGCGCATCGGCGCTGGAGTCCCGTCCCCGGCGCGCGGAGCGCGCCAGGGGCGGCGCCTGAGTCGCCGCCAGGGGGGGGCCCAAACGGCCGATCCAAGAGCTGCGCGCGGACGATCCGCGCGGGCCCCCGAGCGCGTGTTTTCAGGCAGCTGCTCTTCTTCGAGAGGGCCCCCCCCCGCCCCCGCCCCCGTCTTCGCCGTCGTCTCGGTCGCCGCCGATCTGTGTATGCCGCCTGCTTTCGATCCCCCGTCATCGACCCACACGCCTCCCCTCGGCGGCGCACACGAGGGTGGGGGCTGCGGGGCGAGGGGGCGGAGATGAGTGAAGGGGCCCTGGGACACACAAACAAATACACACGAAAAACAGGATTCCCCATGTTTCCCATAGTTTCTTGTTTTTTGTCTTCCCCCCCACTTCCCATATGTTTCCATGTTTTCCTGGTGGATCGACGATTAATTGTGTCTGTGTGTTTCTTTCTCTCCTGAGTGAGGGTGGCAACGACAGGGGGAAACCAGCTCAGGGGGAACAGATCCGCCTGGAATCCGTGATGCATCGCCGGCAGGTCGGTGACAAGCCCCCGATATCGAATCCGAGCGTTCCTGGGCGGGGAGGGCCATCGGGCCCCTCCAGCCAGAAATACGCTCATGCAAATTATCGTTTGAGAAATCTGGGCCAGCTTCCCGAAGTGTCTCGAAACAAGCCTGGGCCAACTTATGCTGTTCACGCTGGAGGGGCGAACGCGCTCAAGAAACTGGGCCCGCCTTCCGGCAAGCGAGCCAAGAAACGCCAGCCCAGCTTTGCGGGAGGAGGTTTCTCGATCGCATGCTCTGCTCGACCGTATCGGCGATCAGCGGGCGATTTGGGATAGAAGCATTCCCACCCACCTGAGCAAACCCCCCTAACGTTAAGTCGGGCCTGTCCTCCTACAGGGGGACTTTGGACGAAAAATCAAAAAGATCGAAAAAACCCAAAGGGTCACCAAATATTTTAAAAATTGTCCCCAGGCTATGTTTTGGACTATTTTTGAAGATTCCTCCTGTAAGGGGACAGGCCCGACTTAACCCTAACGTTGCCCCTAAGGCGGAGGCGGCCCTCTGAAAGGGCCAAGGGCCAACGGGGTGGGGCCTCTCACGAGACACGGCCTGCGGAGGCCTTCCGAGGCGGAGGGGCCTTCGGAGAAGGCGGGGGGGCGCCCCCTTGGAAAACCCCTGCCCTCCTGCTTCTGGCACGTGCCTTCATGTCTGGCTTCAGGGTCAAATCCACTTCGTCACCCTCCTCCTCCTTGTAACCCCATTCAGTCTCCCCCTCCTCCCCCTCCTCCCCCTCCTCCCCCTCCCACTCCCCCTGCACTCCTCCCCCTCCGCCTCCCCTCCTCCTCCTTGCCTCCACCTGCCCCCCTCCCTCCTCCCTCCTCCCCCGTCCCGCCCACGCTCCCCTTCCTCCGTCTCCCCCTCCAGCGTCGACGAATAAGACGCCGGGGGTCGGCGATAAAGGCGGCGGCGCCGACGCCGACGCCGACGACGAAGGCGACAGCACCGAAGGTCGACGACAACGACGCGACGACAACGACGCTGGCGGCGGCCGCGGGCCGACGGCGACGAGCCTGGCCGAGCGTGCTGTTGAGCCAGTTCTCGAGCGCTCGGCCCTTCAGGGCCACGCCGGGGTCCGGCGGGGCGGGCGCCGGGGCCTCCCCGCCCGCGGCGCGGGCCCACACAGAGGAGCGACGTCGTCGTCGTCAGCGTCGTCGTCGCGGACGCCGTCACCATCGCCACTTTCATCGTCGTCGTCGTCGTCGTCGTCGTCGTCGTCGTTGTCGTCGTTGTCACCGCCGCCGAGGGCGCCGTCGTCACCGTCGAATCCTTACACCTTCTGCTAGACCTCCACATCCTCCTCCTCCTCCTCCTCCTCCTCCTCCTCCACCTCCTCCTCCTCCTCCACATCATCATCACCACCACCACCATCATCATCATCATCATCATCATCATCAGATCATCATCATCATCATCATCATCATCATCATCATCATCATCATCATCATCATCATCATCATCATCATCATCATCATCATCATCATCATCATCATCATCATCATCATCGCCATCATCATCAGCAGCATCTTCATCGTCATCATCACCATCATCATCAGCAGCATCATCAGCATCATCATCAATATTTTCAGCGTCGGCATCATCAGCACCAGAAATCAGCATCATCAGCATCGTCGTCATCATCATCATCATTGTCGTCGTCGTCGTCTTCGTCAGCATCACCATCGCACTCATCATCCTCAGCATCATCAGCATCACCACCATCATCACTATCAGCATCATCAGTATCATCATCATCATCACCATCAGCAGCAGCAGCATCAGCATCGGCGTCAACATCATCAGCGTCATCATAATCATCATCAACATCATCACCAGCAGCATGATAACATTGTCATCAACAGCATAAGCATCATTATCAACAGCATTAGCAACAACAGCACACTTATCATCATCATTGTCATCATCATCAGCAGCAACATGATCATCCTAATCAGCAGCGGCAGCATCGTCATCATCATCAGCAT